CACATCTAGATGTGTATAAGAGACAGGGCGCGTTCTTCATCTCCCCTCACTCTCGCGTGACCGCTCGCCCTATATCCCCCTCTCAACTGATGTCCCTCTTCGTAGACGGGGGGGGGGTTCGCTAGTTTCAACACGTCACGCACGCAGCCAAGTTGACGTCAACACCTTAGCACACCCGCGCACTCGCCTCTCCCTCCCGAGATTGTTGACTTCCCCGATGCTGTTTTTCTCGCCCGCGCACGTTCTCTTTTCTCGTGTCCCTCTCACTTGCCTCCCGTGCCTCTATTGCCTCGCGGCCTCCAGGTCCTCTCTGTCGCAAATTGGCCTCGTCCCCGGGAGCTGGCCTCTGGGCCGTCCTCAACTGGTCGCGCCTGAGGATGGTTCCTGCGAACCTGGTCTGGCCTATTCCAGGATTGAAGGTCAGTTTCCCGGTCACTAGCCTCGCTCTCCGCCTCTGAATCGCAATCCAAGTGTCGCTGCTCATGCACCACAGTATCCGTCGAGGTCCCCGCTTCAGGTAAGAAATTGTCACTTTTAGCTCATCCGTGACCCCATCTCTTCTGCACCTCCTTTCAACACGGTCTTCGGCCTCCGTGACCGCTAACTACAAGCCCTGGTCCGCCCTCATCACTTCTTCCTTTCCCCCTTCGACGTTAATTTTTAACCTTGCCTCTTGGTCACAGCGGCTGTAGTCCAGAATTGCTGTCGCGGTAGGCCCTTCCTCCGTCGTTCGCTCCCACCTCCAGATAAACTGGAGGTACCTAGGCCTGTAGCCGTACAGCCCGCTGCTCCGCACCATGGCTACGATCTCTCTATCAGCTAGGACCACAACACTCGGGGCTCGCACACTCAGTCTCCACTTTCTCTCTCGCGAACACCGCTCCTCACTCGTAACTCCGTCCGCTAACCGCTAACACGATGAAAGCTTCTGAATACCTCGCCCAAAAACGTAGTCGAGGTCTCATTTGCCTTGTCCTTTATAAGCTTGCTTCTTATCCAGACCAGACCCCAGCGTTATAAATGAGGAATTCAAATAATTAATAAAATAGTTAAATCAACTACTTTATAAAGGAAATTAGGAGAACCGAAGCTCAACGGCCACGAACCAGACACATCGGGTCATCGTCAGTCACTAACTCTGGTGGTATGACTACAGGTCCAAGGCGATGGTCCCATAACGGGATTCCAACCGGTCGCCCTTCTTTCCTTAAAATGCGCCTCCAGAATTACCCCTAATGGGTACCCACGTCCGATGGGGCTTATGACCCTTCACCGGGGTGTGATAAGCCTCCTACCAATGTGGCTGCGGGTTGCCCCTTCTTTTGGGGCCCCTTCGCGCGGCACCCTGCTGAACAATTCAGCCGTGGGACAAAAAAAAACGAAAAGTCGGGCCAGCCTAGGCCGTCCAGCGGTGACTACAGTTCAAGTTTGAACCGCCGGCCTTGTGAAATGACTAGCTGGAAAAGCCCGTAAAAAAAACTTTATAATAATAATAATAATAATAATAAAGTCAGAGAAAGTAGGGAAATCGTAACACTGCGATGGGCTGAAGCCACTGGATTCTCCCCGAACTAAAGCGTGGGTTCAGATTTGACGGTTTATTTTTCTTTCCTCCTCTTCCTTTTATTCCCCTTTTTTTACTTCGCCTAGTCCCTCCGCTTTGTCAGCGGTAGCAATCCGCATTTGACCCATAACCCGACTAGGAAACATTCGACGGGCAATTGAAAACACCGTGCCGCTTCTTCTGAGTCTGCGTCCCTGGGCGAGCCCGGAGGCTACCACGACCACAGGCCAGTAGTGCCCTGCTGTACAGCAGGGTGCCGAGCCTGCGTGGACCAATGGAAAGTCCAGTGGTTCACCCTTTTGCTGAGGGCAGGCGCCAACTGGGCCGGTCCATAGCAGGGTATAGTCTGGCATACTAAGCAGACCTTGGAGGTTCAGGAACTACTTGATGAACCGCGGGTGTCAAGGCGAGAAGCTGGTAGTGAGCAGAAGTCAGGTACAGGAGGGCCAGGGCACCACGCCCTCCGACACCGGTATCTCCTCCCTTTCGGAGGGAAACATCATTGCAATGTCTGATATTGCCCGTACAGGCCCTAGACCCAGACTGGTTGGATTGATATCTGCCTAGACCTAACCTACAACTACCGGGCCTCTAAAAATGCCTCTTTTGTCTTCTTCTGCTCGGCCTCCGGTACCTGCACATCTACCCCTTTCAGGTGCGGTACCGGCCTACCCGCTACTTGAGTGTTTTTCCCCGCTGCAACCCGTTTGTGTCACAGCCACAGGTAAGTACCGGCCCTGAGGGCCCAACGAATGAGCAAGTGCCGTGACGGGCCACACACATACTGATGCCAACCAGCACTTAGACAGGCATGGTCACACAAACACGCAAGCCAACCAACACTCAGACAGGCATGGTCACACACACACTCAAGCCATCCAACACTCAGACAGACATGCAGTCCAGCAAGCGTGCACACACAGACTTAGTAGCAAGCGGGAAACTCAGCAGGGCATTCAGTCTATGGGCAAAACTCAGAAATCAGTTGTGTTTCAGTCCATGTATGGACGGGTCATCACAGTTCTGTGCACAGATGGGGAGGCACGACAATCAAATATGACCGAGACATAGCTTCCTACTTCAAAAGTCATCCAAAACCTCCCACGTTGACCTTGGTGGAGAGGGAGAAGTTTGCATGACACCCCCTCTTCTTCCCGAAATTCAGACATCTTGACCTTAACATAGCTTCCTACTTCCAAAGTCGTTGGTCTGCGCCTTCTTGTTAGCATGATGGTATCATGGCATGCTGCCATTTGGTCACTGAGCAAGTGATCATACTTGGTGTTAGCATGATGGATCATGGCATGCTGTCATTTGGTCATTGAGCAAGTGATCATACTTGGTGTTGTAGCCAGGCCTACCTGGTGTCAGACCAGGGGGCTGTTAAGGGAACAAGTAGGAGAAAGGGTTGCAGATCTTCCATCCGAAATGCAGCATGTTTGGCGTCATATCGGTGGAAGAGTGGATGGAGTTGTTGTACAGTTCCTTCACTGCGTACAACTCTTCATCCCACGTTTCCTGGTTGGGAATAATTAAGACTCTGAGAAGCTGTATCAAAGTCTGGTTGATCTTCTTAGCCAAACCGTTCGCTTTGAGTTGTCGACGAAATGTCATCTTTAGTTTGATACCATGAAGTTGGGAAGTGAAGACCTTCCAATCAACACTTATGAAGGGGGGCTCGCGACCACTCACAAAGGGTTCTCGAGGTCCTGTAGCAAACTGTACTTCTGGTGGAATTCATGGATCACAAGGTCAGTTGGGGCGTGAGGTGGCAATGGAATCAGATTCAGAAATTTGGAGAAGCGGTCAACAATCACTATCACCTGGGAATATTCAATCTTACTCAGCTTACCCATATCTGTGAAATCAATAGAGACGGATTCTTCATGACCGTCGGGAATGGGAAGAGGTTTTGGCAGCCCCATGGGCTTTTGGCTCAATGATTTGATTTGTTGGCACACTTGAAACTCAACCACAAACATGTAAGCAAATTCTTTCGTACCAGGCCAATCAAACTGTTGAAGCAGATTTCCCTACGTTTTTGCAAAACGGAAGTGTCCACTCCGGCTAGGAGTCCTCTTCCCTCAGATGTGTGATGTATGTTGGGATGTCGTGTCAGTCCCAGTCAGGTCAGGACTTATCTCAAAAGTCTTCCGCCGCGCTTTTATGTGCCATTTGGTATGCATCAGGGTGTACATGCCCGTTAATGTTTCACTAACATTGCATTGTCCATTCAATCCTTTTCATCACATTGCGGATCCTTGGCTGAACCTACATTGTCCATCTTGGCATGTATCAATTGGTATTCGAGCCCTGCACGTGAATCAGGACAACCTGATCTAACACGTGTGCGGGGACTAATGATGGATTGATGGATGGATGGATTGATTGATTGATTGATTGATTGATTGGTTAATCATCGATTGATTGATTGATTGATTGATTGATTGACTGATTGATTGATTGGTTAATCATCGATTGATTGATTGATTGATATCAATTGATTGATTAGTCTTTGATTGATTGATTGATTGATTGATTAGAAAGTCCCCAAAATTGCGAATTTTGACCTAACTGCCGAAAAAAAAAAAAAAAAATTTGGATTTCGTTTTCCCGCTATTTCTGTTTGTGGAAAATCGCCATAGTGCAACACCTGAAATTTTTGTTTTTTCGTTTCTTTTGAAAATTTGAAATTTCGTTGTTGGAAATTCCAAATATATATATATATATTTTATGAAATTTTTAATTTCCTTTTGCAATTTTCTGTTTTTTTCAAAATTTTGAGATTTTTTTTGGAATTTTTTTAATTCGTTATTTTCGAGATTTGAAAATTGTATGGGAAATCCCTCTTGCAATTGCTTTTTTTTAACTGCGCATACTCTCATCTGAGTAATTCCGAATATTTTTAATTTTCGGAATTCTTTTGAACTTGCGAAAAAAAAATTCTTCGCAGTTCCATCATTTTTTTTATTATTCATTATTATGTGTTAATCATTTGCAGTCTGAAAATTCGATTTTTTTTAATTATTGGTAAATTCGAATTTGAGGGTGATTGGGAGACCTACTGAACTGTCAAACTCGGGATTGTTATTATTACCCTTTATTTCTTGAATTTTTTTGCAAAAGTTCAAACTTTTCATTTTTTGATTAGTGGCTCCTTATCTGGGCGATTGATCCCACCCACCCTTGCCCACCTATGTTGTTGCCCCCTCTGGTCTTCCCTTCTCTATCTGTCTTCGGGTACCCCCTGCGGTGACATTGGTAAGTTGTCACGTCAGCCAGCCACGTCAGTAGAACACGTTAGCGGAACACGTCAGCCGATAGTTGTGCCACGTCAGCAGCCGAGCAGTGCCATGTCAGCAGCAGGGAGTGCCATGTCAGCAGTTCTCCGACCTAGTCCATGCTCACGTGCTCTCAAACAACCGCCATGGACCAGAAGCCAGGGGAAACAAACGAGGCCTATCAAACCCGGATGTTGGACTTGATTACCGAGGCCAAGCAAATGTCGGACGCGGCAGAAGCCGCAGCAAAGAAGAAGGCAGAAGACGCCGAGAAAGCGCGTCTGCTGGTGATCGAGCAAAAACGTCAGCAGGAGGAGGCAGCAGCAAAGGCTGCTGATGAAGAACGAGGTCAACGACGCGAGAAGATATTCAACGGAGAGCGAGCCTTGCTCACAATGGCAGCGGACTGGTGGGCCGAGTCCGAGAATGGTAACATGGAAGAGAGTGGAAGCAAGATCGCTCTACTCCTCTCCCGTTTTAGGGATCTCCTGGCAACGTGCATTGCACAGCAGGCGGACATCCACAGCCTCGATGACGTGGTTCAGACGCACAAACGGGCGTTTGACCAAGTCAACAGCCGCCTCCAGCAGCTGGAACAAACCGTCGCTGCCCTCGTTCCCAGCTATTCCAACACATCCAATCGCCTCGATGCATTGGAGATTGACGTTGGAGCCGTCAAGGACGGCGTGAAGTTACAGCAAACTGCAACGCAACAGTTGGAGCAGCGGATCTGTATTGTCGCCGCTCACTCTAGATCGGAACTGCGCGAGACAACTCCAAAGTTCGATGGTCAGGAGATCTTCTGCGACTCGATAAAGACGGACCCGATTCCGTGGTTTCGCAAGTTCGAGCTCAAGTTGCAGCTACACCACGTCAGCGAGGAGAAGTATCACGCATACTTATACTCCCGGTCGGGGGGCACGTGCCAAGCGTGGTTGGACAACCTTTTGTCCAATTACAGGGTGGTAGCCGCCGACTTGTACACCAAGATCAGTTGGGATGATCTAAAGGCGGCGTGGCATAAGCGGTTCCAAGTAAAACCGTCGGAGATCAAGGCAATGGATAAATTGATGACCTTCAAACAAGGCATGCTGCCGAGTACTGACTGGATTAGCGAGTACCAACGCTTGACATCCGTCCCAGACATTCAGATGGGCTTCAAGGCCATCAAACACGACTTCATCACGAGGTCGTGTCCCGCGTTAGGGAATGCCTTGAGTCACATCGAGGAGACCTTGACGACAACGGCGGAGCTCTTCGACAAGGCCGCACAGATCATTATCACGAACAAGAAGGCCAAGAACCTCAACCGTTCGTCTGCGACACGCTCGAGCAGAGATCAGTATCAGCCGAAAGTGGTCGTGGTCGCGGCGGCAACGCCACCCGACCCTTCAAGCGAGGCCGTGTCTGCCAATGAAGGGGACAAACTTGCAGCCGCCCGGGATGGTGGCCGCCCCGGCAAAGGCCGAGGACGCGGGAAGACGAAGACAAACACTGCATCGATCCCCGGGCCCGGCGTAGCAGCTCAAGCCCCATGGGCCCACTACAATCTCTCGGAATATGCGTACAAGCTACGCACGAGATTCTGCTATTGTTTGTGGTGCAACAGTGGTTGCCATGACACAGTGGGCTGCCCTTTGAAAGGCAAGGGCAAACAGTCGGGAAACTAAGCACCGCCGGGAGTGAGTCGACGACACTCTCGATGCCTTCGGAACCGGTTGCTACACGGGCGACCACCCTCGTTCCGAGGCGCATGAGGAAGTCGATAGTCTTCTTCTATATTTTTATGAGGACTATGCAGCCCGGCTCGTTTTTACGCTGGGTACTCGTGCTCAAGGACAAGACGTGTGTGCGGCGTCTTCTCCGTCTGGCAACGGCGACTTATCGTCTTCAAGTGGTTCTTCACGGGATTCGGCGCGCGAGTTCAACATAGAGGTCTTGGACCTGATCACGTCGGAGGATTTCGCATGGCTTCCTCTCCCGACCACGGGCCGCATGGGGACCGCAATGCGCAATACTATGCGCCCATCTTCACACGTACCTATCCTTCTATGCACCACCAACTTTGTCGACGGACGACGAAGCTGCGGTGGGGGACACCTTGCGTATGTTACCAAGGTGGCCCGCGAGTGTCGCAAGCAGCGGTACGATGACAACAACGCTGTCGAGCCCATCGGTCCGACACCGCACAAGGGCAGCGCGGGACCCTCCCGACCGCGTCACGCAGGAGTTGGGATTAATCCTCGTCGCGATACATACATGGAGCTTCCGCAAGAGGCTCCGGCCGAGTGCGCCAGCCATAGCTCTCGCGAGCCCCTACGACAGGATAGGGCCTACACGAGGCACGACTTACCTCCACCTTACGGGAGTTGTCACCTCCCTTTGGTGGGCGTATCCCCGCCGAGCTACCAGTCCACGGTACGAAAGCTAATCAGTTGCAATCGCAGAGGTGGACCAGCCGAGGGCGTTTCTCGTTCGCTGTAGCAAAGGGGGTACGCGAGGTCATACGCCTCAATCGGACCCACACGCGAACCGACATCTCGGGGGGCTAAGGTCCCAAGCGCGATTCGTCGTTGGTCGACTAGGACGCATCCCACAGGCCACGCGCACACCGCTATAAAGAACATAAAAATAAAACACACACACAACATACGCACGAAACGACACAATGCGACAACGCTCCTAGTCCCTCGGTAGCCAACCCATAACTTTCCGATGCGAAATCGGATAGGCGTCGCGTGCGAGACTTAGTATAAAACCGCGCGGACGGAGGGCTTTCTCATATCGACTTGCAATGCAAGCATGCGCAAGCAGTCGCAGTGATGGCGTACTATGTAGTGCCCATAATCAAGCGGTCCCTCGTGGATCCGAGTACCTCTTATGACACTCAACTGTCAAACTCGAAGTATCGTGAGGGTCTGCTCCCTCACGATATTGCACGGCTGAAGGATTAGCCGTGCGGCCGCCGCGAGACCTCAAGCCTTCGGTTTGAATGTCTCGGCAGGCAGGGCAAATAGGCTCTGCGCGGGGGAAAATTCCTTCCATGCAGAGCCTAGGGCTTGGGATGCCCTGGAAGTGGACCTTGAATCTCGGCTCAGGACCAACGCACGACTGAGAATTTATTAAGAAGCATACAATCAGGAAAAGGGGGTTTCCCTGCCCCTTTTCTCAACCTTAACCCTCATTCAGCCCTTAGTGCGCTGGCCCCTTGGGCCATGCGAACTTTCAACATAGGTATACTCATATATATATATATATATACAAGGGGGACAAGTATGTGATGATCACTTCTCACAATCACAGTGCGGCTCCTCACAACTATATGTATATGTGTGATCGCAGGCAGTCAAATCCAAAATCCGAATCTCAGAGCATACCTGCAATCACATCAAAAGATTAAACAAAGTCCACACACTACACGAAGTCAACCTCAACCACTCTCTATACTCGTACCCCTCGCTTTCGCCATGCAAGCCCCAGCCACCTGTCCAACCAACCACAATTAAATACTCAGTACCTTTGTTAAATGGCCATTCAAGAAAAGTGCGGGTGAAACCTTAACAAAACAATAAAATCACTAGGGCTAAAGCCTTTTTAGGTTCAGTATGGAGGGTGAGTTGGAATTGAGTCGTAGACCGACGAATCGGCAACCGACCTGTTATCAGTGATAACAGATGGTGATCCTTGTAGGATCAAGCTGAATCTAGTCCAAAATCCTGAATCGACTTGTTCAAGAAAACCTGTAACACAAGACAGGCCAATCCCCAAGCTAAGTCTATAAGTTCATGGAGAATAATCTCCATATCACGATCTCACTCAAATCATCCTATTTAACTAAGCCTGAATCTACCACTAAACATTGTCCAAAGCAAAGGTAGACTCTGGCATAATCTCCCCTACACAGAGTGGATCTCCAAAAATCGCCACCTAGCCAAATATAATCTAACTCCTGTAAGTTAGGAAAATTCTGGCAGCACTTCCCGTAGGAAAAGTGTCATCGTAGAATTTATACTAGCCCAAAAAATCAAACTTTTGGATTCTAGAAAGTCAAAATTTGTCGAACTCCCTGATTTAGCAAAAATTTGGGCAGCACTTCCTTTAGAAAGGAAGACTTTTCAGATTTGTACCAAGTCAGATATGAACTTAAACATGAAACCTGAGTTCTGTTATGACAAAATTTAGCCAACTCCCTAGATTTGTAGAAATTTCGGCAGCGCTTCCCGTAGAGAAAGTGTTATTGGAAGATTTATACAGAGCTAAGTCTAGAGTCTGGAATGACTTTGACTTTTCCAGGTCCAATTTTGCCTAACTCCCTGAACTAGCAAAAATTTGGGCAGCACTTCCTTTAGAAGGGGAGACTTTCCATATTTTTACTAAGTCAAAAAATCAAAAAAAAGAACTGGATCCTAAAAAAGACTAAGTTTGAGGAACTCCTCGGTTTTGTAGAAATTTCGGCGGCGCTTCCCGGAGGAAAAGTGCCTTACCAAGATTTATACAAGACCGAAGTATAACAGAAGATCCCAGAAAATGCAGAAATCGATCAAAGTAAAATAAACTTAACTCAGAAAATGCGGGAACTGAAACTAACTCCTCTGGCTCTAGCACGTGGCGAGCAACTAAAGCAACTACCTATCAACTGAAACTCAGACTAAGCAGTGGCATCACTTAGTCACATGTAGGCCAAACCACAAAGGTAAGTACTCTCACCATCCCCAAGTCAACGTAGCAAACAATAGTTCATAGTCTTTCAATGATTTATCCCCTTATACCCAACTTACATAGGGCATAAAGCTAGACCACCCAAACTTATGGAACATGTYTAGCCCAGCCATGAAGTATACACAAACATAGGGCACAGCAACTTTTCTCTTCTTTGGGCATATGGCTAGGCCACCCTAGCCGCCCTGAACTGTTTAAGTATCCAAAATTTATATAACTGTCTGCACCTAATCTTTCGAAGTAGCATATAACTGAGCCCATCATCTTCAGCTCAAGACTCAGTCTGCCCCTTCGTACCACAAGTTTTATTCTTAATTAATACTCTCTTCAGTTGGTGATAAGCTATAGTCAGACCACCCAAACTTATGGAACCCTGTCTGACTAGCATGTTCATAGATAATATAATAATAGAGTATAGCCAAATTTATAACCTTTTGGTTCCAGCATGTGCGAGGCATTGGACCAAGACCACCCAAACTTATGGAACATGTCTTGGTCCTCAGCCTGGTTCATTTCTCCCAAAAGCCAAAGCAGAAGAGGTTGAGCCACCCAAACTTATAGAACATGCTCAGACCTCCTCGTTCAGGAACTAAAGAAACTAACAAAAACCCAAAGTAAACAAGGTGACCAAGCCACCCGAACTTATGGAACATGCTTGGTCCCTGGAAAGTCAACCACAGTCAGCCCTCACAAGTAAGAGCAACCAGACCACAGAAACTTATGGAACATGTCTGGCCCTCCAGGCAATCCAAAAGTAAACATAGCACTGGGCCTTCCCAAACTCATGGAACTGGCCCAGCCTTTAGTTGGCCCAGCCTTTAGTTGACCCAGTCAAACTTCATGCAAAACTACCTTTCTCCCACCCTTCCCCCAGATGCAATCCCACAATCTGCTTTCAGTCAGATAATGAAACTGAAACTGACATTGTACATGCATTCCTTTACTTAGTCTTGTTATGTCCTGAAGACAAACCAAAAATCATAGGGACAGGCATGCATACGCCAATCAAACTACAGGGGGAATAGGCAAACATGGGTATAGCGGGTTATGCAGATAGAGATAGTTTACCTGATGGTTCCCTGCCTCCAGAACCTCGCCTAGGTTCCGGCAGAGCTCCCGCAATCGGTGGGTTGATTCCCCACAGAGCCTTGTTGCGGTCCTACGGGTTGCAATCCCGCCTACCGCCTTCCTCTCAGAACTGGATTAGACTTAGATTAAGAAAGGCAGATGATAGCGGTTTTGGACTCTCGAGATACAAGAAGGGGACAACTCAACTCTCAGGAGAGGGCCTTGATACCTTTATTTGCCTGAGGGCCCTGCAATGATGGCCAAATAGTATCAGCTTGGCCAACTTCTGAAGTCAAACTGCCGAAGTCCACCTCCTGACGACCTCCCAAATCGCAGCACTATCCCCCTATTTTTTCAGTCTGATCACCTCCCCAAGTCTCACGGCCGCCTGTAGCAATCCTTAGATGCAGTAGCAATAACCAGCGGTGGTCACCAGCAACAGCAGCAGTCACCAGCAGCAGCAGCAGCCACCAGCAGCAGCATCCAGTCACCCGCAGCAGCATACAGCGGTGGCCAGCARCAACAATAGTCACSAGCCGCAACRAYAGTYAAYAGTAGGCAGCAATTCKTGCATGATACACAGCAGYGGCCAATCAGTAGTACGTGCACTTATCCGCAGCAACCAGCAACAGCAGTCCGCACACAATCCCCAACGCAGCAGCTGGCACCAATAGAACTGTACGCGTTCGTACTCAGCAAATCGCAGCGGGAAACATTATACAGTCGTGACTTCATGGCACAACAACAACATGACTGCCCSAGGAACTCARTCTCAGGAACYAGTCCGTTCTTTCCCGCCTTACAACAGGTTCGCTGCAGGTTTGCTTCCTTGCCACTCTAGTCAAGGTTCTTGGCAACACATTGATCAGCGGATAGCCTCTTAAGTCTACTCGTTGCTGCTTCACACGGAAGGGTGAGCAGAGTAGCAGC